ATTCAACATGATAAAAACAAAAGGCCTGCGTCAAGCCAGGTGTCAAGATAGTCCCTGCTCAAGTCATTCATGCATGTATCCATGTTTTCCCCTGCCAACTCTCTAATATATTGACGCGTAAGTCTGTTCCAAGCTTGTCATTCAAAACCCTAATCATGAAAATTGTATCGAACCCATTGGCCGTGGTTGTCGTCCTCATACTACTACTAGTGGGCATTTCTGCTCTTTCTTGGTTAATTCTGAAATTCGGTATTTGTCCATCCCCAGCTGCCAGTGATCCAGAAAATCCTGGTGGTTGTTGCAGAATCTTCCACCTTCACTTCCATTTCCTTAGCTTTTCCGCAATGACATGGTAAAATCTACAACCCTATTTCCCACAACATCAAACTCTTTTAGTTACTTATCCATTGTTTATTCACTGCAGAATTCACAGCTGAGCAAGTTTGTAACTCGATTTGGGAGAATGGGTGATATATCTGCGTATACCCTTAAGCAAACTTTTATGTATCAGTATGTGTGAAATTTTAACTAGTGATTACTACTGGAGTTACTGTTGCTTATAAGGCTCATCTAGGACTCTCTCTCTCTCTCTCGCTCTCTCTCTCTCTCTATATATATGTGTCTGTGTGTGTGTAAAAGGACTTTATCATTTTTGAAATAAGAATTGTCTTCTTAATTTCTTGCGAAATTCTTAGTTGTATCCGGGATCGGAGGTAGATATATATTCTTATTGTTGTGCGTCTAATGAAAAGGATTATAAGTTGAGGAATGTTCGAGGTAAATTTTTAAACCTCCCATAAATTTAGTGGTAGTATTTTTAACGGAAAAATAAATACTTTATTAAAAACGAAAATAAATACACAATTAGGAAATAGATTTTATTATTATTATTATTATTTATTTTTTACCTCCTGTAAAAAATGCAAAAAGCTGATTACATAAAAAAAAAAGTCTAAAAAATTCGTAATTCTTGTAACTATACACTTATTCACCTAGTAATAAAAAGAATAATATTCTAATCTCTCATCTATAAAAATGGATCAATTATCCAATAACTTATCTTCAGGCAATGTCTTTTAATTTGGACAAATTTTTTAAGTTGAAAACTCTCATTATGCATTTATTTTAACTGAATTATAAGATGTTTATAGTTAGCAAATAAATTCAACCTATACGTGAAAACAAGTGCTAAATTAGGCATAAATAAGTAAATTCATTTTCAATTAAATTCTTAAATAAAATAATTAATTATTTAATAACAACAAATCGTAAATCTCTTTTGACTAAACTTTTAGTTTTCCCTTGATCTGGCTACAGTTTCCTAATGTCTAAATCAGTCTACAAAATCCAATGTTGTCAAAATCAACTGGGAACCAATCTTCAAACTAGTTCAGTTATGAGTCTTATGACTAAAAACCACTTGAATTAAAAACCGCAAGAAGGCGAAAATTATAGGGTCCAACCGTAAAACCGGTTGACCGGGCACCAGTTTTAGCAATGATCCGGCACAAGTTTTACCAATTTGCTTATTTTCAATTAACTAGACCGACAAATTTCACTCACTAATCCCAATTAAAATGTAATCCCATTTTTACTACACTCAATATTTTATTCTGAAAAGACTATCACTTGTAGTAACAATGCTCACATTTTAACATCCAAGAAAACGGCTAATCCCATAAATTACTCAAATACCCCAAAAAAATCACGATTTATGAGATTAAATCATATCTAAATATTCCTTATTTAGTATAACGAGTATCTAAAAAGCCGCCTTCTTCATTTTGTAATTGAATAATGCTATTTGCAATCGCTCACTGTCATAATTATCTTACGTGCCATACATGTGACAGTTAGTGTTTGATACATTAATGTGGTGATTTTTTTATTGTCTTGCGTCAAATTACTAACCATTACATGTATGTCACGTAAGACGACTGTAGTAGTGAGTGACTGCAAATAGCATCATTCTTTATAATTTCTTCTTCAAAATGGGTTGGCGATAAATCTTGATTATCTGATGAAGAATATTGTGATTGAATTATCTATTGAAACTCATTACAGGTACATATTTCATCATGCGAGAAGAGTTCCCTCAAAATGAGAAGAAGTGATTGAAGCTGTTGATTCAACCTCCTAGACAAAGAAGAAGATAGAGATGGTTAAGGATGATGGTAGACAAGCAACAAAGTCTTAAACCTAGAGGTCCTCATCCAGAGATGATAAGATTTTTGATGTAGCGCCAAATTATGTTGTCAACCCAAGAGAACTCTACATAATTAAAACCCCCTAGTTTTACATTGTTTTCCTCTTTTTATAGTTTTGTTCTAGAGTATATTGGTTCTATTATTTTGCAAAATAACAATTTTAGTTTCGTAGCAAGTGTGAACTTACTTATTTTAGGGTTGTTCATGAATATGCGAGTTTACATAAATCATCATAATTGATTTTATTATGTTTATGTTTTATGACATGTCTGTGAATTAAAATATGTTTTAATTTGAATAATTGCAAGTTTAAATGCTTGATCACATGACTCGTGGAATTAGACTTCTCAGAGACAAATTTACGTTGAGTAAAATATCAATTGCTTAAACACATGAACAAGTTTCATTTTTATCATTGTAATTATTTCTTGACACACGACATAGCATGCATCACATTTTTAACCTATAAGAGTGAAGTGACGTGATGTTGTTAATATCCATAGCAACTAATTGACATTCGAATTTGCACGCTACACTAAGGATGAATGTGAATACAACAAAGACACCATATTTCCATTTCTTTTGTGTTAGGAGCTGAACTAGAAGATGAAAACAAAGAGAACACTTATGGCTTTCAAGGAGCCACACCTCCACAATTTGTACTGAATAAATGTTTCAATGTCTTTGATTCACATAGCAGAATACTTAAACAATACTTAAACAAAGGCTTACAATAACTGACACCGACCCCCGTACTAAAATGCAAGACCCATGATACAAAATGAAAGTGGCCAAACAGCCCACTACTTGACCAGTTTACTAAAACAGAAAAATGACAAAACATAACAAAACAAACCTTAAATAAATAACAAATGACTAAGACACCCTAACTTTCGGACCCTAACAATGCCCCGATCTTCAAAGGATCTTGCCCACAAAATCAAGAAATTTCTTCTGTAGATCTTTAAGGTCCTCCCATGTAGCATCTTCTTGGCTTGTTCCTTTCCAATGAATGAGAACTTCGACCCCTACTCTGTGACCCTTCTTCTTCAGTCTCCCTGCAATGATGGCTTCGGGTTTTGGTATCAGGAATCCTTCAGCTATCACTTGAGGTAACTGAGTGCTTGCTTGTACTTGGTTTCCCAGTTTCTGTTTTAGACAAGAGACATGGAAGGTTGGGTGAATGTGAGCTCCTTAGGGCAATTCAAGGTGATACGCAACCTTGCCAACACGGCGGAGGATGCGATATAGACCAAAATACTTGGTGAGAGCTTGAGATTCTTTCGCATGGCCACTGACAGTTGTCGGTATGGCCTCAGTCTTAAGTAGACCCAGTCTCCTTCCTGGAACTCTCTCTCGGTCCTCTTTTTATTTGCTTGCTTTTTCATTCTTGATTGTGCTTCTAGGAGGTTTTCTTTGATTAGCTTGCTGATAAAGTCCCTGTCTTTAATCTCTTGTTCAACTGCTTGCACTTTAGTAGTCCCTGGTTCATAAGGCAAGATTTTGGGGGGTGGGAAACCATATACTACTTCAAATAGGGAGAGTTGAGTCGAACTATGTGTATAGGTATTGTAAACAAACTCAGCAAGAGGCAACCATTTTTTCCAATCTTTGGGTCTATCCGAGATAAAACATCTTAAGTAACATTCCAAGCTTTTGTTTACTATCTCGGTCTGTCCATCTGTTTGTAGGTGGTAGGCTTAGCTGAGTAATATATCAGTTCCACAAATTCTGAAGAGTTCTATCCAAAACTGGCTAGTAAAAATTGGGTCCTTGTCACTGACTATAGTTCGTCGCAATCCATGTAGTTTGAAAACATTCTCCATGAAAATCTTAGCTACCTTTAGAGTAGTGTAAGGATGATGTAGTGGCATAAAATGGGCATACTTGCTCAATCTATCCACTACCACCATTACTACATTGTACCCTTCCGAAGATGGTAGTCCATCGATGAAATCCATACTGATGTCCAACCAGTTTCTCTTTGGTATTGGTAAGGGTTGAAGCAATCCTGCTGGGTGTATTGTTTCCACCTTATTCCTTTGGCACGTGTCACACTCCTTGATGAATATCTTAACATCCTTCCTTATTCCAGGCCAGTAAAACTCCTTTTTGACTCTTGAATAAGTCTTATGAACTCCTGTGTGACCCCCTAATGGACTACAATGATACTGTTGCAGGATCTACTGCTCAAAGGGTACCAAGGTTCCTAAATGAAGCCTCCCTTTGTAAAAGATGATATCATTCCGGAGCTCGTATAGAGAATGGTTTAAGGTCCCCTGGTGGTAGTTGTTTAAAAGCTCCTGCAATTGGGGATCTTGGGGGTATGTTTTCTTTAACTTCTCAATCCATTTAGCTTGTAGCATGCTTATTGCTTGAATGTTTGGTTCACTGGTTTGGTTTTTTGTGTGGGATGTTTTGGAAGTGGTTGTTTGGGTTGGAGGGGTGCAATCTCTAGTTGGTAATCTGGATAGGGCATCTGCAACAGCATTGGTTTTACCACTCTTGTATTCCACCACAAAATCATATCCCAGCAGCTTTGATACCCATTTTTGTTGGGCAGGGGTTCCAATCCTCTGTTCCAATAGGTGCTTCAAGGCCTGTTGATCAGTTCTGACCTTGAAAGGTCGCCTTAGTAGGTAGTGCCTCCATTTCCTGACATCCATCACCACAGCCAATAATTCTTTTTCATAAGTAGATAGATTTAAGCTTTTACCTTTTAGAGCTTAACTTAAGTATGCTATAGGTTGTCTTTTTTGCATTAAGACAACTCCTAGCCCTTCTCCACATGCATCATTCCACCACAAATGGTTTAGAGAAATCTGGTACCCTGAGAACTAGGGGGTTGATCATTGCTTGTTTTAATTGATTGAAAGCCCTTTGTGCCTTCTCTGTCCATACAACTGAGTTCTTCCTCAAGAGTGCTATTAGGGGTGCTGCAATTATTCCATATCCCTGTACAAATTTCCGATAATACCCTATGAGGCCTAGAAATCCTCTTAGGGCTTTGGGATTTGTTGGAACAAGCCATCCTTGCATGGCAATTATCTTCTGTGGGTCTACTTTGACTCCTGCCTTAGAAATTAGATGCCCCAAATATTCCACCTCCTTGCTTCCAAGGGTGCACTTAGAAGCCTTAGCAAAAAATCTATGAGACTGTAGAAGTTCTAGAACCATCTTCAAATGCTGTAAATGCTCTTGCAGTGTCTTACTATAGATAAGAATATCATCAAAAAATACCAGAACAAACTTCCTTAGATAAGGCTTAAATACTTCATTCATTAACCCTTGAAACATGGAAGGAGCATTGGTAAGGTCAAAAGGCATTACCAAGAACTCATAGTGGCCCTCATGGGTCCTAAAAGCAGTCTCGGGGATACCTTATTTATACATTCTAATTTGGTGATAACCAGAATGTAGGTCCAACTTAGAGAAAATTTCAGCGCCATATAATTCATCGAGTAACTCATCTATGTTGGGAATAGGGTAATTATCTTCGACAGTATCTCAGTTTAAGGCCCTGTAGTCCACACACAACCTCCATCCTCCATCAGCTTTCCTCACTAGTAAGATTGGTGATGAGTAGGGACTTTGGCTGCTCCTTATAATTCGATTTTTTAGCATTTCAGCAACTAGTTTCTCAATCTCAATTTTCTGATAATAGGGGTACATGTAAGGTCAGAGACTTGTTGGTTTGAACCCTTCCTGTAGTGGAATTTTGTGATCATGGCTCCTAGGAGGAGGCAATCCGTGAGGTTCAGAAAAAACCCCCTTAAACTGTTCCAGCAACTCTTGTATCATAGGATCTTCTTTGGTCGTTGTACTGTCAGCTACCCCACCTAGCATTTGGATCCAAATTCCCCTCAATGTTCCTTTAAGTTGCCAGTGGTGTTTTTCTTCCTCCAGGACCTTCTTAGAGGGTTGGATCCCTTGTAGTTGGGACTCTTCACCCTTAAGAATAAACTGCATAGTGAGGTTAGAAAAGTTCCATATGATAGGGCCCAATTTCTTTAACCAGTCTCCCCCTAAAATAACATCACAGCCACCTAAAGTTAAGACGTATAAAGGAGCCTTAAAATGTAGGTGCTGAACTTGGAGTGGAACTGCCTTACAATAACCTTGGCAGGGAAGGCTATCTCCATTAGCCACTCTTACTGCCAGCCAATTGTGATTTCCTTGCTACATGTATATCCACAAAGCTGTGAGTACTTCTAGAGTTGATTAGGATCACTACCTTCTGCCGGTTAATGCCCCCTTCTACCCTCATGATTTTGGGGCATTGGATCCTGCCAGTGCATGTAAAGAAATCCCCAATAGCTCCCCTACTATTTGCTTTTCTCCAGGGTTCTCTTCAGCCTGTATTATGGCCACGCTACCCTCATCTTCCCCAGGTTCATCCTCAATAGCTTCCAGACCCTCTAATAAATACAGTTTAGGTTTACTGCATTTATGTCCTGGGTGGTATTTTTCATCACAAAAAAAGCATAAACCTTTACTTCTCCTTTCATCCATTGTTGCTTGGCTCACTCTTTTAATTGGAAAGGTATTTCTTTTGGGTTGGAAATTTGGGTTTTGTGGCTGTTTGTTTTTTGGTTTGGGTGAAGATGGGGGTAATTTGAGAATGGGGGCTAAGGATATGGGTTTAGGATTATATATGGGTGTAGTATGGGTATTTCTAAGATTTATTCCACGACCTCTCCTACTCACTTCCTCTTCTTGCAACTTGTCTAGTTCAAATGTGACTGAGGGTGATTTTGGGTTAAACATAGTCACCATTATTTTCAAGTCATCCTTGAGGCCACTAATGAAAGTGCTAACCTTGAATTCCTTTGTTAAGACTATAATTCTGTTGGAAAGTGATTCGAACTGAGTTTGGTAGTCCCCCACAGACCCAGTTTGCCTCAATTTAGTGAACATCCCTACTAGATCCTCAAAGGTTGAGGGTCCAAATCGCACCTTAAGTGCAGACACAAAATCATCCCAATTACCCACTGGCTAGACTCTCTTGACCAACAATACCATGACAATGCTTTTCCTTCCATGTGGAAAAAAAGCAATTTTTAGTTTTTGATCTTCTAGTGTGCTAAAATAGGCAAAAAAAAATGTTTTACCTTGAGTACCCATTTTGTGGGCTCACTACCATCAAACTTAGGAAATTCAATCCTAATTGTTCTAGCTTGGATACCCCCCTCCCTCTTCAAATAAAGGATTTGAACTAACATTGGGTTCACTAGATTTCTCCTTTCCAACCTTTGTTGCCAACTGGTTATAACTGACTGCAAGGTTATTCAATTGTTGTAACACTGTATCTAACATTTGTTTTTGAGCTACTTGTTCTTCTCATAGGTGCGTTGTCTCCTCCCTCAAGGAAGAGACTGCCTCAGATAACTGAGCGTGACGGGTACCATCAGCCATGGCGCAGGACCTCGGCTTTGAGACCACTGTTAGGAGCTGAACTAGAAGATGAAAACAAAGAGAACACTTATGGCTTTCAAGGAGCCACACCTCCACAAAAATTTGTACTGAATGAATGTTTCAATGTCTTTGATTCATATAGCAGAATACTTAAATAAAGGCTTACAATAACTGACACTAACCCCCGTACTAAAATGAAAGACCCAAGATACATAATGAAAGTGGCCAAACAGCCCACTACTTGACCAGTTTACTAAAACAGAAACATGACCAAACAAACCTTAAATAAATAACAAATGACTAAGACACCCTAACTTTCAGACCCTAACATTTTGTAAATTAATGCATATCATCCAAGGATATAGTTCAAGAATTCTAATATTTTATAAATCATAACATCTAAAGATTTTGAATAGTGTATCTGAATTTGCCTAATTGTACGTCAACTTGTGTTACTTATGTGTTCCAGCCAAATTAGAGTCATACCACTCAGGATACGATCATATAAGCAACGAGGGTTGTGTACAAGCAGCCTTCCACCCTGTACCCTTGGAGGCATAATTTGTAATTTACCTCCCTCACGATACTCCAGGGCAGGGGTGGTTGGGGACCCTTAAGGTTAGAGTTTAACCTTTTTATATAAGCAACGAGGGTTTGTAGTTTCTGCAAATGCATTTTCATTTTGGTCCCAAAAGTATAACGGATTTGATACAAACTATTACAAGTTGAGATTATTTATCAATCAAATCATAAAATCAATTGATTATGAAATATTCCATGTCAAAAATTTTATCTTCGTTCATAGTTGCATATATCACCATTAAAAGACAAATCAATTTTTTTGGTATCTATATATAGCAACCTGCACAAGTTTCATTCACAAAACTTATTATAAAAAGTTGCACAAGCGCTGAAAGACAAAATCAGATTTGTATCCAATATACAAACCATCAACTTCAGTTCATATGATATACATAATACGTTCACAATTGGTGGCCACTAAGGACTATTTTAGGAAAGAAAATCAGTGACTTTTACACGCTAAACTTTATAATCTTTAATCAAGAAATCAAATCGCGCAGAGAAATTAAGTTAC